TCTTTACTGGATTCGTTCAGAGCTAGTAAAGTGCTCGTCTTGTTACATAAAATAAGGCATTTTGTAGCTGGTTGTATAGTTATTTTGTAACTGCATATCTAACCCTTTTATTTTTTTCAGGAGGTTGTAAACATGTGGCTTCATAGAAGAAGTGAGGAACCATCTGTAACATCTACTCAGTGTTATTGATAATGATGTACACTTGGCTAGATTGTTAAAGAAACCTCTTCATCCACTACAGGAAAATAAATCAGTACTTTTATATTCTTAGGATTTGTATATATTTTTTATTTGTAAATAAATTGTTTTTTTACTTCATTTTTCTCATTTTTTATTAAAAGGTTAATAAATAAAATTTTCACAGATTTTTATATTTTTGTTTGTAAACAATAATTGAAGTTTTTATTAAAAATCAACAATGTTAATAATAATAACTTAAGTCAATATTATTCTTTCTCCTTTTTTAAAGCCACTATTAATAAAGGTATTACTTTAGCTTGACCTATGATCAATTTTTAATTTTGTGATATATTTGGTTTGACAGAAAAAAAATTAAAACCCTTTGACATTGGTTGTTTTTACTTAGATTTTCATAAAAAATAAACGGAACTGCAAACATGTTTTACTATCGTAATAACGAATAGCAACATGAAATTTTTTTTTCACATTTATCACTGTTGTCATTTTCATAAGAAGGCACACTTTCTGGTTTTTTGAAAAAGGTGGCAAGAATTGTGATATTTTTAAATTTATCACCAGTGATACTACATGTAGTTACCCGATTTATTGGAATATATAGACTTTGCTACCACATTCAACTGAACTTGGTTTTTAATATTTATCACTGTGACAGGCGTTTTTGTTAAAATGTTTCATTTTAAACTGCTGTAAATAGGTGCCTTTGTTTTGGTAGTTTTAGTCCCAAAAAAATCTATGCATATACAGGTACTCATTCCTCTTCGATTTGCTCGAAAAGTTAAATTTTTATCAAAAATTACATTGGCTGTTTAAAAACTCATTATAATCCCTGAAATGTGATAATTAGGTAAATTAAATTAAAAAACAAACAAAAAAGTTTATTAAATTAATATTTACTCTTACAAAATAGGTTCTTGTAAGTTAACAAGCAATTATGCAGATATTACTAAGTAAATGTACTTGCTTAAAATTCACACACGAATTTGGTTTTAACATGTTAAATTAACTAACCCTTCTTATAACTCTTTCCACATGTATTCTTAGAGATGCTATTCTTTTACTTAATTGTACATCTTCTGGAGAAGTTTTTTCATTCTGTGATACACTAGGTGTGGCTTTACTAAAGTGTATCCCATGTTTTCAAGTAGCTGATTATTCTGAAACCCCTATCTGCCATTATATGGGATCCAGGAACCAGTTTGTTTAAATACCCACATTTTTCCATTATTTCTTTATCACTAGTTCTTCCACAAAATGATGAATAAATTCGGTATCTTCAAAACTTTCAGGAGATTCTGCATTTTCTTCCAGATGAAGGGTTTTTAGGTTATACACCTAAGAATTTATAGTAGCCTTATTTTCAATTTCCTGAAGGGGACAATTAGAAATTGCTGCTACATCTTGATAATCCGGTGTATTTTTATTAAAAAGTTCACGAGAAACATCGCTAGTAGAAGGTTGATTTTCTTCTTTCCAAATTTCTAGGAACACTAATAAATATTTTTGAAGATGAATGTGAATCATTATCACATTCTGGAACAAAACACTTTTTCGTAGTCATAATATTTATAAAAAGTACAAAATTAAACAATCAAATTCCAAATAAATTCTTGATGAAGACACTATGATGACAGATGCCATACACAGTGCTGCCATTTTGCCATTTTCTGAATTATTAAGTGACTTTTAAAACAATGAAACTTTAAATATGGTAAAAGTTTAAACAGAAATAATACTTTAAAAAAACATTTGATATTATATATTTAAAAGATATTTGTTTAACGATGTTTTAGAAGTCTAAAAGTAAGAAGGAGTACACAAACGAACGTACATCACTTCTCGTAAACCTTCTAGCCGGCAACGTTGTGCGCTAGCTCCTATTGGTCTATTCCCGGTGACGTCATAAATTTTAAAAAAATTCATAACTCCGGCAAATGAATAGATAAAAAAAAAATAAAAAAAATGTAATTTTATTTTCAACTCTATTATTCATAAAAAAAATTTCAAAATTTTTGAACATGCCCCATTATTTTGTTTGATGATATTGGATTAATGGAAATAAAATGTAGTGTAATTGCAAAAGATCTCAATTTCAATGAATGTCTTAGATGCCGTCTTGCCCAAGGTTTTCCTAAATAGTCGTTCAACAATTTCTTTATTTCCAACATTTTCTTCTTTCTCCATAATCAAATTATTTTCTTGAGTTCCAGCATTATATTTTTTAAAGATTTGACGAGTGTGCGTTAGCAGCTAACACCTAAAGGAGACAGTCCACTTGGTAAGCGAGCCTTATGGCCGTATTTATAATTTGTGTTGGGTTCAACTTTTAATGACTTACAAATCCAACAGCACTATTCTCAATATAATCCCCAAATTTGTGCCCTTAATGTCTTGTTAATGATTTTTTAAAATACGCCAAAATTAGTAGCTAAAACGCCTTCTGGTGTAACGCGCCTGTAACTATCGTATCTCAGTCATCATTCGTTTCTTGCAACGACGTACATCAGTATACACCAGAAGATAGCGAGGCGTTTTAGTCACCAATTTTTGCGAATTTTAAAAAATCATTAATAGAACATTAAGAGCTTAAATTTGGGGATTATATTAAGAATAGTGCTGTTGAGGAATGGATTTATTTTCAATGGTATTTAAAAATTTAGAGCCCTTTGATTTTTTTTCTCGGAAATTGGAAGGAATTAAAACTTTAAAATATATGCACATTCTAGAAATTATTGCCTAATTTATTTTACCAAAATTTAAATTTTTTAAAACAATTACTTTTTGAGATATCCTTGTCCAAAAATTATAAGGAGTGCTGTAATCACCTTAAGGAATATTTATTTGCCACTTTAAAAAACGTTCCTACAAGGGAAATAATACCCCTTGCTCTCTCATATATATAATTTTAGAAAAATATTTTTACAGACAATTACTAGAGTACTTTAAACAAAATGACATTTAAAAAACAGCTGTGAAGCAGCTGTTCAATGTGTTATTAATGAATGGAAAAATCTTTTAGATACTATTGTAGCAGTTTTTCTGGATCTACAGAAAGCTTTCGAAACTATATACCGGACAAAGTTGATTAATAAATTGCAAACATTGGTTTAGAACGGCGTGTACTCAAGTGGTTTAACAGTTACTTGTTTAATAGTCAACAAAGAGTTTTTTAATGGTCACTCATCCTCCACAGCAAAAAATGATTTTGGTGTGCCCCAAGGCAGTATATTAGGACCATTACTCTTTCTTTTATATGTCAACGACATTGTAAATTTAAATATATTATCAATAATACATCTTGTTGCAGATGACACTCTTGTGTACTTAGCTTCACGTGACTTAAAAAATTCAATTTCAGAAATGCAACGTGCATTAGATGTAATACATATTTAATTACACATAAAAAGAGTACAACAAGAATTACTAGTTAATAACTAATTTTTGAAGATTGGGAATGACCCTACAGACCAAGTTGAAAAAATTAAATACATACTTAGGAGTGGCATGATACTAGGACGAACAGATAAGCTCACTTGGGGGTACGAATTTTGAATCGAGCCGTGCAAAACGTCATCGCGTGACAAAAATATTGGTAATATACGGGGATACTATAGCTTTTCATTGTATTTTTGTTTGAAAATTGCTTTTTTATATTATATTACTTAAATAGGTAATAATCCAGAGCGATTAATAATAAATCTAATTTGATTTAGACGTCCCGGTGTTGCATCAATTTTAACTCCTAAAGAAGGGATAGTTCAAGAGTGAATAACGTCTGCAGCAGTAACAAGTATTCGAATATTAGATTCAAATGAGATAATAATTCGATTATCTACATCTAAAAGTCGAAAATTATAATTATTTAATTCATCTGTGGGGATTATATAAGAGTCAAATTCAATATTATTAAAGTCTGAATATTCATATGATCAATATCAATGATGGCCAATAGTTTTGATTGTAATTGATGGATTATTAACTTCATCTAAAATATAAATTAATCGTAAAGAAGGGATTGCAATAAAAATTAGTGTAATTGTAGGCAGAATAGTTCAAATAATTTCAATTATTTGTCCTTCTAAAAGAAATCTATGGGTAAATTTATTGAAAAATAAAGATAAAAGTAATTGACCAACTAAAACAGTAATAATTAGTAAAATTATTAGGGTGTGGTCATGAAAATAGGATAATAATTGTTCTATTAAAGGTGAGGCCCTATCTTGTAATATAAAATTTTAAATACAAAATATAATTCATTTATTTAATAGAAGAAATAAATGTAGGTATACATTATTCGATTTTAATTTATTTACATTGTAAGATATTTTTGTGTTTATAAATCTACTCGCTTATAAACAAATAATGGTAATAAATGAATTTAGGCCTTTATAATAGTTTTATTTGATCAGTAAAAATAGCTAAAGAAACTATGGCAAGTGGATTCCTAGCAGCAACGAGAAGTAAAATATAAAGAATTGGCTCTGTTTGCCAAGTTGTAGTAGGCTGGGTTTACACTTTGTATAAGTTGTACCTCAAACTAAGAGTGTAAATTAAGCATATAAAAAAACTAGTTTATAATTATTGACTGTGTGGCAAATGGTATATCCAATATCATACCTTTTCTTTTTTTTTTTCACACAGGTATTTCAAAAAATACATATAAAGTAAATTTGCATGTTTCAGTGTGCAAAATTAAAAACTCCTTAGCTTATTTGCTATCTTTAATTACCTTTAGCTTATTGGCTATCTTTAAGGTTATCTTCTCCCTGAATACGACACACTATAAAATTAAAACAACTTACCAAGAAATGAGCTGAAACTTCTTTTCATGCTGCTAGCTGTCGATGAGGGAGAATCCAACTAAAAATATGTTACTTATTTAATAAAATAAAAATATAATATAAAGCTGTATTAGCTGTACAGTCTAGTGTCAAAATTATTATCTCTTTTTGTAAAAAACTTTATAAACTGTAGTACAAACAAAAAAATATAAAAATAATTGTTAAAATAAAAATATTTGTTTCCAAAACTTACATTAAGAGTTTTTTCCAGTACAGACCCAGTGGATGAAACAACATTAGTTGCTTCATTTTTTACAGCAGATCCAAATTCTTCTAAATCTTTTTTGACAAATTCCAAAACTTCAGAACCCTAAGTAAGAAGGAAAGAAAGTTAAATTACTTTAAAATGTAATTTGTTCAGTTATTACATATTTACATCGTAGAACAATGCAATATAAATAAAAAGAATATTTCAGAGATGTAAATAACATTGGAAAATGTGTATTGAAACCATCGGATAGAATAAAGTAGATACGACATAAACACTATTTTGCGATATGACAGATGGACGCACTTGAAGTGACGAAAAAGTGTAACGAAAATGGCGACTTGAGTCGTACTTTGATTTATTTGAGGTCAATAATTTCATATTTGAAGACTGACGGAATGAAAAATATCATTTAAATGAAGCAATTTAAACAAAAATTGCATTTATTCTTACCAAAACTGACTAGGTCCACTATCTGGAGTTTGACATTGACGTAAAAGTCTAATGCAAAGGTGTGGACACTTTAGCATCTCTTTATTCTATCTCAATGATTGAAACTGATTACATATTTATATAAAAAAGGGACCAATAGCAGTGTACATTAATAAATAAAAAAGCATTATTCTCGAAAATATTAATTAATAAAGTTAGTTTTTCTGCTGTACAAAAGATTATAAGTAGGTAGATCAAGTACAAACAATTTTAACAAAGTAACATAACAATTTATGATCTTTGTTTAACTAAAGACTTTTTAAAATGCAAGATGTTTTTTTAAATTTCATTTGTAGGAAATAAGCAGGAGTTAAAATAGCACACAAAAATAATATGTATAAAGAAATCTTGTAACTACGGAAATTCATTAGTCGTCTTGTTAATATAAATGTCTTATAAATCTAGAATTGAGTCTTCTACTTGCAAAACCGGCTACATCCAAAATTTTTCAAAACTAATTTTAAAGTGCGATAGTATAGTATGAAATACGGTTTATTACATGGTATATTCCGATTATATCATAAGCGACTGCATCTGACTTAAACCTGCGCCAAAATTTTTAAGTGTTTAAGAGAACTCTACTAAGGATAGTTTGATGCAATATAATCGCTATTGAATAGGCTGTGGGTACTGAAATATTGTCACTGTATACTAGTACTAATAATATTGTGATTTTTTTGTTATTTTTGATAAGAATGTTTCCTATATTTCTAGAATGACTTATTTAGATTTGTTAAATTTAAGTTGACATAACCATATTGTATTATACAGTTTTTAAGCTATTGCATAGCTTTTATCGCGGGCTTTGAGCCCGGCGACCGAATCAAGAAATTCCGTAACGCGTAACGAAAAAAAACCTAACACCCTCTACTCCGACCGGCACAGCGGTGCGGCGTTGAAAGCCGTGCATCGTCTAACGTCGTTTCAGTTCGGCAGACTTCGGCACGGTGTTTGTGTGCGTGCGACTAGACGTATGCGTGTAGACTAGCTGCTAACTGCTTATAACTGATTCTATCTCTTTTAGACACAATTTCGGAAAAATTGAATTTGAAAATAAATAATGATCCACAAGAATCCACAACAAAATATGGGACCACCATTGACGCGGTATTTTCCAGATATTTAGAGGATATCAAGTCTCAAACTTATGTTTCTTATTTCAGTTACCATAAACCTATAGTTTCAATAATTAAAATTCCTGAATAACCTACATGTATTGTAAGATAATAAAAATGTTTTAAACAATATTAACTTCTCATTTATTCAATAAAAGAAAAAAATTTGTTTTCTTATCGGTCACCACGCTCAAAAAGTGTAACTTGAATTAATATCAAAGAAAAAACTTGAATTAATATCAAAGAAAAAACTTGAATTAATATCAAAGAAAAAAAAAATACTGCATAAATAAAATAAATAAATAATTATAATTGCATAAGTTGATAAAAAATGCAATGTAATAACTTTACCGCGGCAGTCCCCGAGTGTCACACGTATTTTTATTTTGTAATGGGGGATTCCCGTTTAATAAATAAATAAAAAATAAATAAATTAAATAAATAAATTAAAATTAGAGAAATCGTTTCCAAAAGTTGCAGAATAAAGCTATGCGAATAATATTATCATGTCCTAGATTTACGCCTACTGTAGAAATGCGGATATCTTTAAACTGGCTCTCAATTAAAGACATGTTCCTTTACCAGACATTAATGTTTATATTTAAAATAAAAATAGGTCACGCACCTGACTATTTCCAAAATAAAATTATTTATGCCGCATTTGAGAATCCACATCGGATGCATCTGAGATGTAGTAAATCTTTGATCACGTGATTTAAATGTAATGAGACAGATGTGTCCGATGTGGATTAAAAAACGCTCGAGATGTAAAAAATGCATCCGATGTGGATTCTCAAACGCGGCATTATATTCACCATGTTCACACCCATAATACAAGACTTAGAAATGACTTTTATATTAGTACCGTCAACACCAGTCATGCTTAAAATTCAGTCTTTTTTAAAGGACTACAGCAATTTAATGATTTGCCAGAAGATCTAACGAAATTAGAAAACAATTAATGTATTCAAACGTAAACTATAAAAATATTTGTTAGATGTAAGTAGGTAATTTAGGTATTGAAGTATTTGTTATTAATATTATTATTCTATGTGTGCTGTTTAGTTATATTTTATTTTATATGACTACACTTAGATTAATAACGTATTTTAGTTAGACATATATTTTTAGTGAGAAAGTGTATTGACTATGTATTAGTTGTTTTTGACTAAATAAAGGATTTATATATGAATAAATTATTACTGAATATTTCTAAAAACTGTATACATAGCATTTTCCCTAACAAATGCTAATCAACCAATATTTAATGAAATTCACATTGATACTTCTGACTTTATCATAAAAGAAACTGATACAACTAAGAATTTGGGTGTAAGAATTAAATTTAATAATTAGCAAATAAAATTAGAAAACTAATACATGAAATCTATCTCATTCGGAATATTATTGAATAAAAAAATGTTAATGATATATCAAGCATTAGTTGAATCATTAATAAGATATGGAATAACTATATGGGGTGGTTTACATGAAAATGCATTAAAACCACTCAATAAAATACAGAATTACATTCTCAAATTAATTCATCACAAGAATAGACTATTTTCAACAATCCTCTTATTTAATGAGACTATCCTTAACATTAGATCAATATATTTTCATGCAAGTTGTATGTTCTTTTTTAAAATTAAAAATGAAAATTATATAAATCACACATATCTTACCAGGTGCAGAAGCAAAAAAATGTTAAATATTCCGTACTTTAAATATGATATAGGACCAAAAATATTCAATGCTTTACCTTGTAATATAAGACATATAATAAATATAAAATCATTTTCTAAAAATGCTAAAAAGTTCATCAGTAGTAATTATAAAAAATTAATGTAATATGGAGGGTGTTTCATTGAAAAATAATTTTACCCACTGTTATATTTATTTCTTTCAAATAATATATAGGGTGTTTATTAATTGAGTGCTGATACTTAAGGGTGTGAATCCTTGGGTTATATTAAGAAGAAAAGAATATCAAAATATGTCATAAACCTCTTAATTTTTTAGCTACAGGGTATTACAGTTTTAAGAAAAAAATTACTTTATCATAATTTTCTTATCATTCCAGATATTTTTATGAAATTTTGTATACACCTTTTAATTATTAAGGAGATTTTTTGAGGTAAGAGATTTTTTTAAGCTATTGCATAGCTTTTCTCGCGGGCTTTGAGCGCGGCGACCGAATCAAGATATTCCGTAACACCGTAACGAAAAAAAAAAAAAACTAACACCCCCCACTCCGACCGGCACAGCGGTGCGGCGTTAAACAATATTAACTTCTCATTTATTCAATAAAAGAAAATCGAAAAAATCGAAAAATCGAGAAATCGAAAATCGGAAAAATCGAAAAATCAAAAAAGAAATTCCGTAACGAAAATAAACCTTGCATAAGTTGATAAAAAATGCTATGCAATAGCTTTACCACGGCAGTCCCCGAGTGCCACACGTATTTTTTTATTTTTACAAGTGACGTCCGTACGGAGTTTGAACTGAATATGTTTGAACCACTGCTTTTTCCAAAAACCAAACTTATTTTTGAAATCCTCATTTATTTTGGAGCATAGACTTACTTTCGAACGACGCACCGTTTTCGCGTAAAAAAATAAAAACCAAAAAAAATTTATTTAAAATTCATTGAAACTGCTTTTGATGTTTTGCTGAAATTTAGTAGGCAGCCACCATGAGTGGAAACACTTTTTTTGGGACAAAAATTACTTTTCTTCTTTCAATTTATGATAAAAGTTATTTTTTTCTTAAAATTGTAACACCCTTTAGCTCAAAAATTAAGAGGTTTACGACATATGTTGATATTAACTTTTCTTCTTAAAATTACACCCTTAAGTATTGGCACTCAATTAATAAACACCTTGTATATCTTAGAATATTTGACACCCTCAAATAGACTATTTACTATAAAAACTTTGAATAAGTACATGTTTTTTTTTAATTTGCTTAATTTATCTCTTCTAGTTAATGAATATTTTAAAGTATTTTGCTACTCCAATTCATTAAATCATCCACTTATCTTAAAAACTTAAAAAATAGAATTCAATTAATTTTTTTTCTAAGATCACTATCAAAAGCGCTTCGAGAAACAACCGCAAAGTTGACGTTTTCCGAACGGAAAACTTGACAGCTTTGTTGATCGCCTAATTTAAATTAGATATTATATACGAGGGCAGTTTGAAGGAAGAGTGACTTTTCAGAAGTTGGCAAAACTTTCGCTACGGTGATTATATTAGGCAAATATTTATTAATTTGAATCGATTTAGCAAAAATGTGTTTTAAAACCAATTTAAAAAATAATTGCTTACATTTTTATTTCAAGGTATAAGCTTATGTTTATTTTTAAAACCGTGGATGATCAATCTATACAGGGTGTTAAAAAAAAGTGTCACAAAATAAAATGGTGAATAGTATGACCCAAAATAAGCAGAAAAGTCTTAATAAATATATGACCGCAAATTAACGGTTTCGGAGATACGGACCATTTTGTGTTTATAACAATTTTTTATTATTATAAAAAAACAATGATATTTATAAACAATCAATAACAACATAGAGTTAAATGACTGACGTAGCGCTTCCCTCGCATTGCCATTTGCACGACCGTACATAAAATGCATGTCAGCTAATTCAATATTAGTGTAAACAGGCATAACGAAAATTTATAAAATTATTCACCCACAACAAAATAATAACTGCAAATAGTATCTATGAAAAAACATGGGTAGACTCCGATAAGAAAAGCAAGTTTTTGAGAATGAAAAAAGATAATCAAAAAATGATACAAAACACTCCGTATCTCTGAAACCATTCATTTGCGGACATATGTTTATTAAGACTTTTCTGCATATTTTGGCCCATACTACCCCCCGTTTTATTTTGTGACACTTTTTTTTAACACCCTGTATAACTGTCTTTAGCATTGATCCTATCAAACCACCAGACTCACAGTGTTGCCATATTATAACATGTCATGTGTCTGTCAGCCATTTTGTTTGGAATGCCTAATTGGTAGTTTTCGCCATGTTTCTGATGTCATCTGTCAAAATTTTACAAAAATCTGACAGATAGATTAGTTTTAATACTCATATAAAGAAAACTGTTTTCGATGTTGGGTAAATATGGAGAAAAAAGAATTTCCAGTGTTAATTAAACATTATTTTTTACGTGGAAAAACAATTAAAGAAACAGAGGAAAAGTTAAGTAAATAATATCCTGAAAGTGCTCCTCCGTCCCATGGAATGATTTGTAAGTGGTTCTCTGCTTTTAAAAGTGGCCATATGAACACTGATGAAGCTCAACGTCCGGGAACATCATTTACTGTAACTACTCCAGAATTGGTTAATAAAATCCATGCCCTTGTACTTAGCGATCGTCGAATAAAAGTACGTGAAGTAAATATTTCAACTGAATGGGTATGCAATATTTTGCATGAAATTTTACATATGAAAAAGCTATCTGCAAGATGGGTGCCGTGTTTGCTTAATGCTGATCAAAAGCTCGGTCGCATTAAAAATTCAAACGAATATTTGGATATCTTTAACCGTAATCCAAGTGAATTTTTCCGTCGATGTCACAGTAGATGAAAATTGGGTACACCATTATACCCCAGAAACAAAAACACAGCCGAAACAATGGACTTCATCCGAGGAACGTGCTCCCAAGTAAGCCAGAACCATCTTTTCGGCCAATAAGATCATGGCCACAGTGTTTTGGGATTCCAAAGGTGTAATCTTTATTGATTATTTAAAGGAAAAACGATAACTGGCCAATATTATGATTTGCTGACATGTTTTGATGCCGAAATTAAGAAAAAACGACCGCATTTGTTGACGAAAAGAGTTTTGTTCCATCATGACAACAACCCTGCCCATTCGTCCATTATTGTTGCAGAAAAATTAGCCAAATTGCATTACGATTTATTTTCTCATCCGCCATATTCACCTGATCTGGCTCCCTACGATTACTTTCTGTTCCCAAACTTAAAAAAATGGCTTGGTGGAAAGCGATTTTAGACAAATGAAGAGGTGATGGAAGAGACAAACGCGTATTTTGCGGAACTCCCGAAATTTTTTTTGGATGGTTTGAAAAAATTGGAAATTCGCTAGGCTAAGTGTGTAGAGTAAAAAGGAGATTATGTTTAAAAATAAAAAATATTTTTTAAAGTAAAGTAACTTTTTCATTGAAAAGTCACTCTTTCGTCGAACCGCCCTTGTATATTTATTTTTAATAAATTATTTTCATGTTATCTGTACGTAGTTTGATGTTTTTTTATTTTATTATCCAAGTTAAAATTGATTTTGGATATCACCTCGTTTTTTCATGATTAAAGTAGATATAGGCAACACATTATACACTACCTATAACAAATTTTCAGTTTTTATATCTGTTTCTTATAATAATGTTATTGTAGAAAAAACTTGTGTGCATTTTGAGCAAAAAGTTCATGCTGCTTTCTATATCAAGTGGCAAAGTATCACTTTTCGATGTTAATACACAAATATCTATTTTTTTCTACTGACCTATATTATGATTTTTTCTTGGTAAATTTTAAAAATATTTTTTAGACCAGTTCATACTTTTTAAAATAAATACTATTCAATCTTATTATCAGAGGATTGAACAATCATTTTTTTATTCAAACCAAGCATAAATGTGCTTGTTAAATCAAAAATATTGATATCCTGTTTTAAGAAAACAGCCAACTTTCCAATAAACCTGTGAGGTGTGGAGGGAAGGTTGCCCCACAGCACTTAGACTTCTTTAGGCCCATTGTGCATACTTTCCAGTAAAGATATCCAATAAGGAGTGAACAAGAATGGAAATCTGGCAATGAGGTAGGTGTAAAATTAAAATTTTAAAAGTTGGTACAGAGTTGTATAGACATGCATCTTGATACCCGCCGAAACTACAAAATTACCTAAATAAATAAAGGCTTTTATTGAATAAGTTACTTGGTGGTCAAAAAACTAATATTTCTGTTAAAACAATTCTAAATGTACTGTAAAAACATTGATAACTACAACAACAAACAATTGATAATGGAACTATGTGGTACAGTTTTTGTAAAAATATTTCCATTTTTTCCTACATTAACTAATTTGTATTAATGTTAAAATATATAAATTTATTAATATTTATCGATTCCCACGTAGGTATTTTACATTTAGCACAATTAGCAGTCATTGAGATAACATATTTTTATATTTATTATGATGAAAATAATGTAAAGAAAAGATTTATTTTCAAATAAAAAGAGTAACATTACCTTATTCTTTGCAGCACTTAACCAGGAACCGAACCAATTATCATCGACTCTAAAATGATAATATTATGAAGCAAAATGTGTATACATACAAATGGATGATAGGAAAATCGTCATCAAGAATGTGGGTATAGGTACTTACTTATCGGCCATGCTTTTCAGTTTATTGTATGTCACAGATTACACAAAGAATTTGATAAAATTTAGTAACATTAGTTGTGACTGACAATTCACAAAAATTTGTTTTGTTTTTTTGATAAATTAGTCAAACTTTCTGCGGCCATGACACAAAACAGATTTGTCATGAAGTTAGTCATTGTTCAGTTTGGTCCACTTCTTTTTTGTCTTGATTACAGCAAATCCTGATTTGATTTGAATTATAATTATATTATGAAGTTCAAGCATAGTGGCAAAAATGGAATAAATAATTCACGTCTTTTTTGTGATTTTTTTGGTTATTTTAAATACATTAATAAGATATTTGAGAATATTAGCCATCACCCTTTCAGAAAGAAGTCCAGAATGAGGTAAGAAATAAAGAAGAATTTATACAGAATAATGATAATTGAATTGAATGCAAATAATCGTCGAGACCACCACCCATAACCTAGGCCGAATAGCCCTGGCACCTGAGGCCTCCAGAAATTAGGCATTCCAAACAAATGAATTGCCAGTGGGAAGGTTTGGTATATCTAAGGGTGGCGACATACGGTGTATTCTATCTACTTTACGTAAAATTATGAATAATGGATAACATTTAAATATTTTATGTCAAACACAATAAAAATAATATTTAAAAAACCCACCTATACATTTCTTAATAAATTGGCAGGCTTGGCGACTACTACTTCGAATAAAAATAGCGTCCAAGTTGCAAGATTATGTGGCTACCCCCTTAGATATACAAGAATTTCCCACTGGCACCTATTGTTTGACAGGTCGTTGGAATGCCTAATTGAAGAAGAAGAAAAAGAAGAAGAAAAAGATGAATTGATAAAAAAATTATTTTACTTTACAAAATGTTACTCAATCTTAATGTTGCTTATGTTTAGAAAGAACAATAAAGAAATTGTATTCGTAGCGCAGCATAGGTAAAGGAAAAGTACTATTCCGAAAGCCGATATTCAAGTTATTCGATTCCGTTGGTAGAGAAAAAAATGGTTTTATATTCCATCCCATTTATATTATAAATTCAAGATTCAATGAGTGCCAGTTGAAATTACTTTATAACAAATTACATTAGTGTTGAGGTTGAAATGGATATAGATTCTGAAAGCACTGGAACTTCAATAGAGGACAATACTGAAAATTTTTGTGATAACCCTACCAGAGACACCCTTGCAGAGGGTTTGATGGGTCTGATAAAACCTACAGTGGATCAATTAGATGAAAGAGTTCGTGCTACTAGGTTTGAAAACTGATATGCAGTCTTATGGTACTAAAATCCCCAGAAAGGTTTCCTTAGTTTTTTTTGTAAGGTTTTCATAGTATCTACCTAATTAGCCACTCTGTGATTTAATTTTTTTTTTTATTAATTGCTGAGTTCAGCTGACAACAGTTTTACTTATTTTCTGCTGATGTTTAAGGTAGTTCAGTCGTACATAAAAATATTGCCTAATGGTGAATAACAAAAGTTTGAGATTCTCAATGCTAAAAAATGTTATTTATATAAGAGACTATAAACAACACATGTAAGCTTTTATGTACGGATCTGATATAATTTCAAGTAAAATCCATCTGGCAACATCGCAAATATATAAATGGTGGGGTGTAGAAATTTGTGACTTCCTCATACTAATTTTAAGGGTTTATTTTGGTTCAAACAGAATCGTTAATTCCAGTTCTCAAATACAGTTGACGAATTAATTTTTCAAGAACACATCATGAGGTTATAACAACCTAACTTGTAATCATTGTATGCAACGAGTCGACTGCTTTAAAAATCTATCTTTTTACCAAGGCGGTTAAAAAATTAAGTTTTTAGAAAATTTTTTAACTTCTTGATTTACATTAAATTAGTTTTTAAAAAATATAGTAAGAACCGTTTTCGAAATATTATGAAATAAATGCATTGCTTGTTAATTATGCACATTGCGATTGTTAATATATTTTTAAAACCGTATTTTTCTTGCCAGACTAGGAAATCCTTTAATAAGGCAAGAACCACAAAACTCAAATAGGACTGGGATACTTACAAATCTCACCTCAGAGAATACAAAAAAATCGTCAGACAAAAACAGAGATGCATGGAGATCTACTGCGAAGAAATCGAAGATTTCCTGCAGGCAGCGAGGCTTCAAAAAGTTCACTCAAAGAGGATGGCACGAAAATTGCCAACCTCAAAGATAACATCAAACTTCTGCTGTCAACACACTTCCCCCGACTCAGTCATCACAGACGTGGCTGACTGGACAGAGGAAGAATACAACCCATCTGTCTACGATTGGCAAACTGCCGAACACATTATAGACGATTACAAAATTAAATGGGCAATATCCAGCTTCTCCATTTAAATCACCAGGACCTGACGGTATCTATCCAGTCCTACTTCAGTGGGATCTGGAAGAACTCACACCGCACCTGGTGGGTATATTTAGATCCTCATTAACTCTGAGGTATATGCCCAAAAAATGGAGAAATGTAAAAGTGGAATTCATAACCAAACCTGGAAGGATGGATTACACTGTCCTAAAAACATACCAACCAATTAGTCTGACATTGGTTTCCATGAAGACATTGTTGTGAAATTTGCTTATCAATTCTAAAAATAGATATTTCGAGTTATCCAATTGTGCATTCACTACCTAATAGTTCACTTCAGTTCAGTAGGTAAAAGGTACCCGTTTCATGGCTTTGTTAATGAGTTTTAGATCAAAGAAAATTGTTATAGCCGTATAGCGGCATCAGGCAATGTGTTTGTAGTAGTAATTTTTAGTGTAAGAAATTTCTCTGAAACATTGGTATTATTTAGCCTACATAATGGATGTTAGGTGGCTCTATAGTCAGTTAAAAAATAGTGAAAAGAGGATGTGCAGTGATGAGTAGGGGAAAGTGAGACAAAAATCACATTCGATTTTATTTATTTAGTTTCAAATCAATTTTAAAACTGTAATAGGTGATAAGCACTTACTTGAATATATGCTCTACCTTACTCACTGACTAATAAAGTATGGTTTTTATTAAAAAAATCTTACATTTGTCTAATTTTGGAACAATCTTGTTCCACAATGAGACATGCATTTATTTAGTACCACGATAAGATTATTGAAGAAAAAATTAGTCTATTAAAATCATTTGAAACATGCATCAAAATACACGTCTATGGATTCAAAAATGAAACCAAGACAAAATACACTCACTGGCACGAAAAACGGAGCAGTTGAATTTTTTTAAACAAACTTAAAATTTTAATATTTTGTGATGTTTTATTATTATAATATCTTAAACATAAACAAAACAACGTGTTTTAAGCATTTTCTAACAACAATTGAACCTTTATTTGAAGAAAAAAAGCGTTTTTGAATAAAAATCAAAAATCGAACGGACTTATCACTTCAAAGTGCATAGTTGGCTATGAAACCATGACCCACAATGCTGTTGTTTTCATTGTTTTGAGAAATTTGACAGATCGAAACACGTTTTAAAGTTGTGCTGCGTTTATTTCACCTACAAAATTATGGCTGTTAATCCCGAAATAGCGGCTGCTATTGTTGCGTTGCTTCAAGACGGAAGAAGTGAGCGACATGTTGCCCAACAGTATCACATATCCAATAGCACTGTGCACCGTATTTTTACACGTTTTTTGGAATCTGGAGCTTACACCAGACGACTTGGAACTGGTCCCCAACGAAGAACTAGCGCTCATGATGATCGCTTTATCATCTTACAAAGTCTGCGAAATCGTCATACTATGGCTGTTGAAATCAGAAATCGACTTAATCACGTCCGGCAAACCAACATAAGCCAACGGACAGTTAGACGAAGATTCGGAGAAGCCAATCTTACCAGTCGTAGACCTGCAACAGGCCCAGAGCTTCTTAGGCGTCATCGTATTGCGCGATTTCAATTTGCAAGAAATCATGAGCACTGGGGTGAAAATGAATGGGGGCGCGTTTTGTTTACGGATGAGTCTAGATTTAGCCTGCGGTCTCCAGATAGTCGTGAGAGAGTATGGCGAAGACCACAAGAGTGTTTCGCAGAATGTACCTTTAGTCCTAGGGTAGGCTACCAAGGAGGCTCAGTTATGGTGTGGGCCGGAATTTCTATGGAGGCACACACATAATTGTATATCCTTCCGAGAGGCTCCTTAACTGCTGCCAGGTACATTGATGAAATTCTCCAAGATTTTGTTGTCCCTTATGTTGACTTTATTGGAAATGACTTTCTTCTAATGCATGATAATGCCAGACCTCACATCGCGAGAATCACTCAAGAGTACTTAAACGATGTAAACATTCCTGTTATGGAGTGGCCAGCGTTAAGCCCGGATGCGAACCCAATTGAACATGTTTGGGACATCCTTGGGCGAAGGATGCGAAGTCGTGTTCCTGCTCCTTTAACTTTAAATCAGTTGCAACAAGCTCTTTTAGAGGAATGGGAACATATTCCTCAAGAGGACATTCGCAACTTAATTTTAGGCATGCCAAGGAGGATGCAGGCTATTATTCGAGCACGTGGGGGCAACACACGTTATTAAAAATGCGGCTCCCCAGTTTTTGCTAGCAAGTCGTTTCAGTTTTGATTAATTTAAGGTCATTTAGCAACAACACCAATTTGTGCTTTTTCGTCTTCGTTTTTTAAATTGTTACAAAACCCTTTTTTTCTTCAAATGAAGGTTCAATTGTTGTTGGAAAATACTTAAAACATGTTGTTTTATTTATGTTTAAAATATAATAATAAAACATCACAAAGCATTAAAATTTTAAGTTTGTTTAAAAAAATTCAACTGCTCCGTTTTTCGTGCCGGTGAGTGTAGCTAATAATAGGATAGGGTGCGTTAGCTTAGTGGTTAGAGTCATGACTTTTAAATTGGAAGGTCTCAGGATCGAATGCCATCAGTGGCAAGGATTTTTATTAAATAAAAAAAATATTTAAAAAAATATAGGCTTTCTAAATGGTTGAACTCAAAGAGGTCCTTGGTCGGTTCTTCCTCGCTCACTTCGTCGGAATTTCTACCATTGTCTTGATCATCACTTGATGATTCAAAAAGTCTGGTTTTAGCTATTATAATATTTCTGCGTTTCCTTATATCCTGCGCGTCCTTTTTCTTATTTCTTTATATGATATTTTCATCTATTAAATGGATTTCTGGGGTGTCTGTAGCAATATTACAGCTGTCTTATTGTGGACCAAAAATTTTGTCTCGAAAATTTTGTCACATATATTTTAAAAATGTCCCTATAGTAAACCAATATTTTTGTTTACAAAAAATTTACACAAATACTTCTCAAATACCAGTCTGATAAGAATAATTGTCCTTAAGGTAAACAAAACTTATTTTACTGCATCGAAGTGAATGGTGTCTATTTCCAGCATTTAATACACTAATCACAGAAGTAAGTATTTAATTAGACATTTTTTCCACATTGTCTCTTTCACTGTTTTAGCTGCTATCGATTAACATTTTGAAGTGAAGTTTTAGGGTCAGATAGTACTGGATGAGATCTTCAAAATGAGGTACTGCATCACACCTATTCAAAATCAGGGGGTTGTGCTTCCCACTGTTAAAGGGTTGAAGTTACATGGATGAAAAAACCAAAAAAGTTGTTCCCCCTCGAATCAAGAATCGACGGGTTCGAGCTTTTTTCCAGATTTTCATTTTAAAGCCGGAAAATAGGGGTGTAAAGTTTTCGTTGGCACACCCTGTAACGTGTGGAAGGTGGGTTACCCCACGGCACTTAGGCCTCATTAGGCCCATTGTGCATCCTCCTGAGAAGATAGGCACCTCATAGCTCGTGAGCCAGCCTACAGATTTAATGTAGTTGACAACGTCGCCAATGTCATGGGTTGTACCTGTATATATATAATTTATAAAGAAATAACCATAGAAATAAAAAAAATGTTGAATGTCATGTAATGATTAATAAAAAGTTGTCACTGTACGAAATAAAAATATTAAAAGTATTCTACATAATTTTCTTCAACGGTGGTTTCTTCCAAATAACTTCAACAGCCAAGAGGTGCTTCTCTTATATGGACCGGTGTTAGCTGATACTCGCCGAACACAAATCTTCTAATAAATGAGAGCATCGAGCAATCATAAAGGATATGCTCGATGGTCCCATCTTCTTGTTCGCACCCTCTGCAGAGTGCGGATTCTGACAGCCCCATGATATGGAGATGCTTTCGTACTTGGCAATGACCAGTCAGAATGCCTGTGACTAGGCGCAGATTCTGTCTAGTCACTGTTTGCTGCAGTGTTGTCAGGATAAGTTAAGAGCTCCCTGGCAACTCTACAGTTTCTTGTTTCATCCCATCTTTCCTTGAATTTCACAAGGGAATGTTCTTTGATTAGGTCTGTCACTGCCGATTTTTCAGGCCAGGTCCAAAAGGTATTTGGTTGTTTGCTTTCTTGGCTAGTGAATTAGCAAGACGGTTACCTTTCGTTGTGGCGTGACCTTTAATCCATCTTAAGGTGACCACGTTGTTGATGGATACTTCGGGCAAAGCTTCGTGACATTCTAGTAAATTCGTGGTCTGTTCAGGTTGAGTAGTGCTTGTCTGCTATCTGTATAGATGAGCATGTTCCTTCCAGTGGTATTGTTTCTTTTGCGGCTATGAGAATCTCCGTTAGCTCTGGTTGAACTTCACTGGCACTATTGCTCACAGCTCTTGAATAAAGCAATATAACCTCAGTTTGAATGAACTAAATATAGCAAATTATGAAAATTGTATAAATCTATCAGATTATTTTTCTACGCAATTTCAAAGATGGCCAACCAAAAAAATACGTAACTTTCATGTGACTGCTTCATCGCCAACTGACACATAAATGCCATTATGACCTATTTCAATATCTGAAAATGATGCCGCATAATATGTTGTTTAAGAACACTAAACATGATTCTGATGTGGTAAGTTTAAAAAAAAGCCGCTAGTTTCACCGTGGAACATGTCTCATTGTGGAACACTTTCCCCTATTTATTTTTAGAAAATTCATAATGTCTGTTTATCATCACTTTATGTTAAATTGATTGAAACTATTCCTGGGTATATATTAAACAACACTAATGTGTTTTTCCTGGTTTTTATACTTGTTAATCTTATTGAGCTTATTTTGAAGTGTCAATAACTGGAACAAGTAAAACCAGAATGTTGCAGTTATTGACAAACATTGTAATTACTGGTCCACAAACAAATACTGATATACTGTGTTGTTTTATATTCTACTGTTGGTTCCAGTTTCATTGACAGATGTGTCTATTATTGGTACAAAAAGTGGCAACAACTGGAACATATTTTTGTTACTTGTTGTGTCACCTAAAAAAAATTATACATAGACGCAGTTGTAAATTTGCTGTTTATTTTCATTTAGTTTATTAAAATTTTAAGAATAATTAAAAATTCCCTTTAGTTTGTGTCAATAATTGGTGTGTTAATTACTAGTACAAGAAAAAATCAAGCTAATAATAAAAGGAGTTTTTCTATACTTATTTCAGGAAAAATAAAATTATTAGAGAAAAAACTACTCCACCAATGAATTTGACAAACTATAAATTACAAGGAATAAAATTAATTATAATTACCTAAAAATGTTATTAATTGTTATAGAATTATTTAATACATATCACTATCCAATGGTGTCAATTATTGGTGCAGTTACCTTACTTCTCTCTATATGTAAGGAAGTTTGATGTACTTAAAAATTATTACAAAGTTTAATACCAACAATAATTTGATGCTTTGAAAAAATAAAAAATATTTAAATTTTAGAATTTATTCTCTTGCGTGTTCAGTTTTCTCAATCAAATATTCAATGTCAATTACATCAATGTTCTCATTGTTATTTAAGTCATCCTACGTGGAATGCAATAATTAATATGTCTCAAGGGAGGGAGGGAGGGAGGGAGGGATGGAGGGAGGGAGAGATAGAGAGGGAGAGAGAGAGAGAGAGAGAGAGTAAATTTGCAGAAATTGTTTTGTGATAAAAACTAATTTATTTTTATTTTATTAAATATGTTACAAAATACTGTGTTCTTTAATTTCGCTTTATTTGGTAAACGTATGTCAAAGTTTACTTGTTTTAAGGCTGATTATTGCAAAACATTTCTGATAATTTATTATCTCTTTTAGTTTAAATGGAGGTGTATTTATAGAGTAATACCTACTACAATGGTTACCTTCCTGGGGTCAATTTATAACTTAATATATTGAATTAGGTCTGACTTATTAAAATATAGATAAAACAATATACTATTTGTAATAAATTTGAGTCACATTTGTATTGTTTTTGTAGAATTTCACAACTGGAGCTAAAACAGTGCATTGAAAGTCTTACAGAAGAACTAAAGGCAATTTCAGAGTACCAGCAAAATACAGTAGATTTGGATATTTATGTTAAGAAATTGATAAACGCAAAACAAAGAGTAACAGTGGTGACTAACATATTGCAAAACACACAGGATAGACTAAACAGGGTACATATGTCAATAGAAAAGGAAACAAACAAAAGGAAAGTACTCTTAGAAGATCTTACTGAGCAAGAACCGACAACTTCTAATTAATATGAATCTCTCAACACCTTGTTATGATTTGGGAAAATTTCCTAATGTATATGAACCAAGTGAGGACACTTTTTTATTCTTAGATGCACTTGAAGCAGATGCCGCATATTTAAAAAGTACAAAGCCCGAGATTATAGCTGAAGTAGGTTCTGGTAGTGGGGTCGTTATCACTGCTTTGTACCAAATTTTTGGAACTTCTTGTGCTTACTTTGCTACTGATATTAATCCACAATGTTGTTTAGCTACTACATTAACAAGTAAATTAAATAACTCCAGAGTGGAATGTCTTACTATGGACTTACTAATTAACTTTAAACCAGCTCTTTTCGATGTAATTCTATTTAATCCACCATATGTTGTTACTGATAGTCAAGAAATGTCTGGATTGGGATTAAATCGTTCATGGGCAGGTGGAAATTATGGGCGGGAAATTATAGATAAGTTAATTAAAAATTTACCTAATTTACTTTCTAAAAAAGGTGTTTGTTATATGGTTTTATTGAAAGAAAATTGTGTTAATGATATTGTTGAAATGGCGAAAATAAATGGATTTGAAAGTGAAATAGTTATTCAAAGGAAAATTCCAGGAGAACATTTGTATGTCTATAAGTTCTTTCGATCAGTGTAAAAAGTATAATATAAAACAGTAATATATTTTTCTTGTATTCTTTTGTCCACATAGTGTTGATAAATTAAGGAATATATTTGTCATCTTTATTTTTTTTAAATAGTAATGTGTTACACCTATTTTTAATGTTTTTTAATTCTCTTTCCAACCATGTATACTAGTATTAACTATGTACAATCTACAAGGGTGGTAATAGTGTATTTATAACATGTAGAGGTGGAAAATCTCATTAATCGCCTGGATAGCGCAATGTATCGAGCAGCCATGAATCAATTACTGGCCCTCAGTGGAAAGCAATGTGTTAGTTGATAATAATAGTAACAACGCTATCTGGGGTAGAGCAGGAGGCAATGAAACAACTCGTAATACTAAAAACAATATAGATGAAGTTTCAGAACAAATGCGGGACCCGATCATAATAATATTTCACAATAACTTCGCTAAAACACATAAAAACTTCGAGGGGAGTAAGGTGAAACATAAATTCAATAAACGCAAAAAGCGGAATAGTTTTAACGTTGTATGAAGATAATATAGTAGGATAATGCAACAGTAAAAAGTGTTGGATGCAATCTCGAGCGGCATCTAGTGACGATTTAATGAAGTAGTCAATTTTTAATGCTATGCAGATACGCCATCTACGTCTTCTTTTCGTTCAGACACATGGCCTCTAGCACCTACCTATTATAGTTAAAAACACCTTTATTTATTTAAAAATAACAATTCACGATAAAAGACATGAAAAATTAAACAAAATAATGAAAATTTATTCCAGTTGACAAAACCGTACAAATACAATTTTTGGATTAAGGTGATAAAAAGAGGTTAAGAACTTTGGTCAATATTTTGGTTATGTGCGTTTATGTCAAAATATATAAACAATAACAAAGAATACCTAATAACAACTGATAATAATGTCCAATGTTTTAAATAAATTGAAAAGTTCCAAGTAGAATACAAAAAAAGGAATAAGCTTCTGAAAATGTTACAAGTACCTCTAATTGGACTAAGTGTTGGAAAAGTTTATAACCATAAAAATAGCTGAATATTTTTATAGTTTTCAAAATTTGAACAAGCTTTGCTACAAAATATCAAAGCTATCAACAGTTTGCAAGATATTGAGTTAAGGAACAAGAAAATCACTAATCAGGGCAAAATCAATCAACACTGGAAAATAAATAAAAAAAAAATAGTCACAGGGGTATATTAGCGACTTCCAAATGTATCTTGGCTGTTGATCATGAATATAAGAAAAAAATTTCTCTCGGCTGGCTCTGAGTGTTGAAATAAATCACCTTGAAAGGAAGTTTTCAATAGCTCCGCTCTTTAGGAATAGCTCAAGACGAAATCGATAGACCTACAAGTGGTCTATCTGTGGCAGACATATTCAGTTAGTCTTTATATTTCATTATGCAATGTTACAAGGTTCAACAACTTGCCAAAATGGTTAAAATTTATTTCCAAAATCAGTGCTCTTATTTAGTACAGAATTATACAAACGACACAATAAATTATAAAGTCCTAACTTTGAACATAAGAAAATCTTATAAAAAACATTTTTTATATATATATATATATATATATATATATATATATATATATATATATATATATATATATATATATATATATATACTCGACCAGCGTATCATGTGACATCCAGCAAAAATTTTGACTTTGTGACATCCACCCTTTACAAAGACTTTAGGAAAAAAATAAAAATATGACTTCTTTTAATTTAAAAAATATTATCACTGAGCGAAAAATATTACAACCATACACATTTAAAAAAAATAAAACGTCCTATCTTTGTGAGATCCAAAGTATACACGGTATATATTTTTATTAACAACACTTTGTGACATCCAGAAAAACCTTGCATCTTGTGACATCCAGTTGTTACGTCACAGTATACCATTTCTACAAGAAAATTGCTATTCTTGTAACATCCAGCAAGTATATAAATACATTTTTGAATTGGGCACCTTATTACATCCTAAAAACTTAACACGTTTAACGCCAAAGCACACCCTCAAATTCTATGATTTTTATTGTTTTTTTATTCCAATGTGATTTCTTTAGTTGTTTTGATAAAATAATTTATTTCATTTTTAAATAATTACTGAGGCCGTTCCTATGGGGCCTCAGTATTGCATTCGTGCAGACGAAAACATTTTCTTACCCCCATTTTTTAAACTTTTTTTTATGTTTCCGATCATTCTGAGTCCGAAAATGCAAAAAAAATTTTTCGTCTGGTCGTCTGTGTATATGTATGCCGGCACAATAACTCTAGAACGAAAGTTCTAATTGACTTGCAGTTTTGATCTTCTTGAATAATTCTTTCTAACTTAGAACCCTATTGATTTTCAGAATTTTCGGTTCATTCTAACTACTTTAATATCATTTTTCTTAAAATCCGCTTATGCATTTCTTATGTGACAATTTTAGGAATTCCAATTATTTCTAACGTCAACATCCCTAACATTCTTTACATTTCATAAATTGCAAACATTCTCTAACGACCTGTCAAACAACAGCTGTTGATAGTAAAAGTGAAATTTCTAAGGCGGGTTGCGACCTTCATATTTGCAAATATAGCCATTTTGGAGGCATTTTTATTCAAAATTAGTCGCCAAGCCTACCAATTATGAAAAATATATAAGCAGTTTCTTAAAAATTACTTTTTTATGGGGGTGCTAACTTAAGCGTACTACTATTTCGCCCCTAGCCACAAAAACACATTCATCAAATTTATTGGCAACCCCAATAATTAACCGGCCATTTTATTTGGCCAAAATCAGAATAATGCTTGGTTATGCCTGTCAGGTAACAAGATGTCAACTATGATGTGGGAATGGCTCTTAAATGTAAAATTATTTAAAAATGTATGCTTCTTTTGATATTGGTTGCAAATAATTTGTAGTGTATCTCAATTAAGGCTTTCCATAAATAAATGTGCAGCAAGACAGATATTATAATGTTCTTATACAAAGCACTTTTTTATTAAACAGTGAGCACCATAAGTCTTACCCCCCCCCTATCTAACTCATTACTGGGGTCTTGTTAGGAAAATCGCCGAGACACGTCGATTTTTGATTTCTACAATGTACATTTTTGTATGAATAGTTTACCCTTAATTTCATCCCTTACTGGAGAGGAGCAACCCTTTCGAAAAATTTAAATGGCATGGGGTGGTGAGTGATAGCTCATTTGAAAGAGGGTTTTATTCTCTATTCAACCGTGTAAAAAAAATTGAAATTTGCTTCATTAATTCTCGACTAATTGTTGTTTCAGAATAACGGAAATTAACGTAGCGCACTCATCCTTATAATTAAAATTCGGCACTGCATGATTTCGGTTTTGGTTCAGACGTGAAGTAAGACTTTTTGCCATTAGAAGGTCACTGTTAGTCTAGTTGCTTTCCTATTTTGTGAGGTTTTGTTATTTTTAAACATTAATAAATCAACACGTATTGAAGCAAATTTCAAAATTCACTGTATAAAAGAGAGGTAGGATATAATGCTGGTTTACATATTCAACCAGCGAATTGTAAATAATAATTAGTAAACTTCTTGAGGTTACTTTTGAATACATTTATTGTTTTTTTTTTAATTTCTGTTGACAATCAATTGAATTTTTTACACCTTTAATAAAAATTATATTTTGGGAACTTTTAGTGATGGCTTGCCGTACATGAAAGTCAGATTGGCTTCTTGTATTTTAATTGTGATATTGCGAATTATATTGAATTTTTTCTAATAGATCTGATGCGATGGTACTATGTCATTTTTATTTTATAAATAAATATCAGTCATGTACTGAATATAATTTTTAACTGAAAGCCAATTTATTTCTTTTAACATAGTTGCAATACTCATCCTTCTATCCTTTATGTCCTTTATTAGAATATAAATAGGCAAAATAAGGAGCCCAAATATTTTACATAAGCAGGCTTAAGACTTAAAAGGGCCAATTATTATTGGAAAAATTGCTCGAACAAGTTTTTAAACCCTAATCAAAAGGCGATATAGAATGGTTTTAAAAATCAAGGCTTGTGAAAATCATCACATGGATAAACCTAAGTAATGCCAATGTTTCACAAAACAAAAAATTCAACGTCCTAATACTACTATAGGCTTTCGGTCTTTCGTTCCAAGTTAAATCATTTCTTGTTTTTGTTACGCTACGAGTTTACCCTTGTGGGCTTCAGTCTCGATAAGGTGGGAACCACCATTTTAGCGTCTCTCGAATTTTCTTCTCAGTGTTTGATTGTGTATATTTTTAGATACACTGGCCCAAAATATATTATTAAACGAGCAATTTATGGTAGCCATTATTCACGCAGGGTGACGTTTGCGTGAGCCCTAGGCGAGTCTAATACTATACTTTGTACCATTATACCATTATGGTTTCTTTATTAAATAAAAGTTAAGTGTAGAATGGAAAGTTTTTATTAAACATAGGTAACTAACTGTTGTTTTTTCAACCTTTCAATTTTCCGATTTTCAGATTTTTTGAATTTCTGATTTTTCGATCTAGAAAATATCGTTATGAAAAGTATCGCCCAACTTTAGTTATCTACCGGAAATTGCCAGAATTAGAAGAGAGTGAATTATCATAATTCACTCTAGTGATATATGGGTACCATATGCTTTTAGTTAGGAGGTAGAATATTGATTTACTATTAAGTGGTCGTGGACAAATTAGTTTCCGATTGAAGTAACTTTTTAATCTTTTTTTTTTGGTATGTGGATATTCCTTATAGAGATTGGGTACAGGTTCTCCCTTTTCCAATAGTTTGGGACTCCCGGATCATTAATGCAAGTCAGGCTTATCATTTACCCACTAAACGCACCCCTGAGCAGGTAATATCTTTTACTTGTCCGTTGGGACTACTTTATTAATTTGTTTGAGTATCTATCGACCTCGTATGGTTGATTCTCCGGTCTCAAGTGCATTAACACGGCCAGTTGGCGAACCTAAAGATAAATCCAGCGGTG